GGACTTAGGGGTCATCACCCCTCTATATGTGAAGCTCAAAAATCGGATGGTGGCAATTCGAAATGGAACACCGGCAGAGGAGGAAATCAAGGAATTCAGAATTCACCTGTGCAAGCTCCAACTACAAGCATGTTCATCAACATGAAGAACGGCATTCTTCAAACTGCGAGAGTGAATATCTTCAACCCAGCTGGTCATGACGTCACCGTTAACGCAAGATTGATCTTTGACAGCGGTAGTCAGAGAAGTTACATAACAGAGGGTCTACAGAAAGCTCTACATCTTCCAGTCTCTGGACGAGACAGTCTGATGATTAAGACGTTTGGAGAATCCACGCCTAAGCTGAGGCATTGTGACATAGCTCAACTGGCAGTGGGAACGACAGATGGCATGACCATTTATGTTACTGCGTATGTGGTCCCCACTCATATGTACTCCAGTGAGTAATCAGATGATTGAGTTCACGCAAGCAAGTTATCCCCACTTGCAGTGCTTGGAGTTGGCCGACAACACGCAGGGCACTGATGAATTGAACATCAACCTCTTAATTGGAGCAGATTTCTACTGGCATTTCGTCAATGGAATTACCATTCGTGGCCCAGAACCAAGACTTGTAGCACTATCCACTAGACTCGGTTATATTTTATCTGGCCCAGTGAACATTCCAGTTCCTTGTCACGAGGATTCCACAGTTAATCTGACGGAAACGCATGTACTTGAAATCTCTGCCAGTGTGTGTGATGAGGAGATCTCACTCGATCAGCAAGTGAAACAATCCTGGGACCTCAAAACACTAGCAATCAAAGAGAACGAACCAACGGTCCATGAGAAGTTCATCACAGACATCAGACACGATGGAGAGAGATACGAAGTAAAGCTGCCGTTCAAGGAATTCCATCCTGTTCTACCGGACAACTATCAACTGAGCAAACGAAGATTAGGATCCCTCTTACAGAGGCTCAAGTCAAAGCCGCAAGTCCTTGAACATTACGACGAAATAATTCGTGATCAACTAAGGAACAATATCGTTGAAGCCATCACTTCAGAAAGGGAACCAGATGCAGGGAAAGTACATTACCTACCTCACAGAGAAGTAATCAGAATGGACAAGGAGACCACCAAGATCCGCGTTGTTTGACACCTCCGCGAAGCGAAATGGGCCGAGCCTAAACGATTGCCTCTACTCAGGACCACCCCTCAATCCTTTGATCTTTGAAGTCCTAGCCAGATTTCAAGCTCACAAGGTTGCACTTACTGCTGATATAGAGAAGGCCTTCTTGAATGTTGGAATCGCCCAGAGCAGCGCAACTATCTCCAGTTCCTGTGGATTGATGATATCCTAAAGGACAACCCTCAGCTGGCTGTGATGCGCTTCGCAAGAGCACTTTTTGGGGTGAATTCAAGCCCTTTTCTCCTGAACGCAACAATACGTCACCATCTGAGTTTTTATGCCTGTAGTGATCCAGACTTCGTGGAAGACGTCGTGCACTCTCTCTAGGTAGACAACTTGGCATCATCTCGCCCAAATGGAGCCTCTGCTTACGAATTCTACCTGGAGCTCAAGTACAGGATTCGACATGCGCAAATGGTTAACCAACAATCAGGACTTAGCCATCGAGGATACAGTGTGAAGAAGGCCAATCAGAGCTACACCCTGCTATTGAACTACAACAAGATGATCAAACCTTTTCAAAGTCACAGTTTCATTGCCAGACAAGTGAAGAGCTCCCGAAGGTGCTTGGGACAGCCAGGGATACAGAAAAGGATCACCTTGTGTTTTCATTTGAAGGACTCACCATCTACCTTCAAGAACAGATTGTCACCAAGCGAGTCATCCTCAGCTCAATCGCAAAGATTTTTGACCCCCTTGGAATCCTTTCCCCAATCTTTACAGCACTCAAGATTATGTTTCAAAGCCTATGCAAAGTACAAGTGGACTGGGACTCCCCCTTGGTTGAAAACGCCACTAGTCATTGGAAAGCCCTCCTTAAAGACATGCAAAGATTGTCAAGGATCTTGATCGAAAGGTGTTACCTCTCTAAACTGAACTGTATCGAAGAATGCACAATGGACCTTCACAGATTTGGGGATGGATCAGACAAAGCTTATGGTGCCGTTGTCTACTTGAGAATTGTATCAGGAAGCTCAGTNACTGAACTGTATCGAAGAATGCACAATGGACCTTCACAGATTTGGGGATGGATCAGACAAAGCTTATGGTGCCGTTGTCTACTTGAGAATTGTATCAGGAAGCTCAGTCGAATGCAAAATTGTTGCCTCAAGGACAAGAGTAGCCCCCATCACCAGAGCAACCACACCTCGAGTGGAACTCTTGTCAGCACTAGTGCTCGCAAGGTTAATAAAGAGTGTTTATCAAGCTCTTCAGCCAACTCTCAAGATAAGCAAGACGTATTGCTGGTTGGATTCAGAAATAGCACTTTGGTGGACCGCTGGGACGGGAAAGAAATTCAAGACCTTCGTCCAAAACAGAGTCAGAGAAATTTGAGAGTTAGCTTCCCCAGAAACGTGGAGACACGTTCCCTCTCTTCAGAATCCTGCTGACATTGCCTCTCCTGGATGCGAGGCATCTGAACTAAAGAAGGACAAGAAATAGTGGGAAGGCCCAGACTTCCTAAAGAAAGAGGAAGAGTCCTGGCCAGAGTGAAAGAACTTTGGCTCGTTAAACATGGAGTCAAGTGATGTCAGTGAAGTTAAGAAGATAAGTGAAGTAACGACCAATGTTGCTGCTGCCTCAGTGGAACGGCTGGAAAACGTAATACGCCCTCAAGATCACAGTGATTTCTTCAAGCTCATTCGGATAACGTGTTACGTACTGCGTTTCATAAAAAGAGCTCGACGGCAGCAACCTCAACCGCAAGGGTGTTCTTTGGATGTCGAACTAGACTAATTGGAAGAAGCTGAAAACCTGTGGATAAAGCATGTTCAGAAGCTAGTGAAGGCAGAGGACAAGTTCGACCAGATACGAGTATCATTGGGTCTATTCGAAGATGATAAAGGAGTTCTCAGATGTGAAGGAAGGCTTCAGAATGCCCCCTTGCCATATGCAGGGTGATTCCCTGCAATTCTACCCAGGAAGCATCACGTGACCGAGTTAATAATCAAGCGTCATCACAGCAACGTAATGCATAATGGCGTGAAGGACACTCTGACCGACCTACGTTCAAAATTTTGGATAATCAAGGGCCGACAAGCGGTTCGTGTCGTAATCTCCCGATGTGCCACTTGTAAGAAGCTCAAGGGGCTGACATACAGTGCACCTCCCCAACCACCCTTCCAGACTTCAGAGTCTCTGATGACTTTGCCTTCAGTAGGATCGGAGTCGACTTTGCCGGACTGGTATATGTAAGGAATGTCTACTCAAGAAGCAAAAGAAGTAACAAGGCGTACATCGCAATTTTCACTTGCGCGTCATATCGCGCGATTCACCTCGAGATCGTGCCAGATCTGTCAACATCTTCATTCATGAGATGCTTTAAGCGGCTCATTTTCAGAAGGGGACTGCCACAGTTCATCATCTCAGATAATGGAAAGACCTTCAAGGGTTCAAGTTTGAAAACCTTTCTTGAGGAAAATGGCGTAACTTGGAAGTTTAATGTCCCACGCGCCCCATGGCGGGGCGGGTTCTTTGAGCGTATGGTACGTTCTGTCAAACATTGCCTCAAGAAGACGCTCGGGGCGTCGCGAGTTGACTACGAAGAATTTGAGACAACATTGGTAGAAGTCGAGGGTATTCTCGACTCCCGGCCGCTGACCTACGTCACTGAAGACTTCGAAGAACCACTCACACAGTCTTCGCTATGCATTGGACGTAGACTACTCAGTCCGACATGAAACCCTCAAGTCGTTGGAGCACAGGGTAATTTGGCAATGTTGTCAAGGCGCCAAAGGTACCTGGACACGGTTTTGAAACACTTCTGGAATCGTTGGCGCAAGGAATACCTCACGGAGCTTCGAGAACACCATTGTGGTAAGAAGACACCTCGAGCACGAGTTATAAAGAAGAGTGATGTCGTCTGTGTGCATGAAGAATTCACACCTCACCAAAGTTGGAAGATTGGCCTTGTTCAAGATTTAATTATCGGAAGAGATCAAGTTGTTCGAGCCGCTGTAGTTCAAGTACTCTCTCATGGACGAGGAATAGATTCCTTTGCTTTCTTTTCATTGTGTGACAAACCATCTACTGATCCACTCAAAGTGCTTTCCACGACTTCTAGCTCTTCAACGTTAACTCTTTGGTTATTTTTAAACCGATTTCCATAGAATTTTTGCTTCTTACGTCTCTGAGACAGAAATTTTGACATTTTGCAAGTTGAACTTGTGATCAGTCGTGAAATTCACAGCTTTGCGATTCCAAAATGGACGCATGTTTAGCAAATGGCATCAAAACAAGGCTGAAAGTTAATGTTCACCCCAAGTCTCCCTGCAGATCACTTTTTGGCACCAAAAGCTCTATTTTGCCCACAAAATATGGCCATTTTGAGGTCCAAAATGACGCGTCAACAAATGCGTTACCATGGCAACGAAACAACAGCTCTTTGAAAACTGCTTTTTATCACTATATACTACAGTAATATTGACAAAAAGACTTTAGAGGCAGAAAAACAAAAGCCTAAAGAGGTGAAATCGAACAAAAAAACTTTGCCCAATTTTTTACGAAAAAATGCAATTTTTTTTGTATGGTACCACCTTAAGCATTCTCAATAATAGGCAGGCATTAAAGAGATATGAGGGATTTAATAGAGAGCTGTAACTCACTGTCAAAATTTGTGGAAAATGTTGTAAACAGATAATAATTATTGAGGACACAAGGAAACGCAACTCAACTCTCTTTAATCTGAACATTCTGAACATCCGAATGACACGTGTCACTGCACATGTGCAGTCCTAACAGTCCGAACAATACCTATTATGTAACATCTCCCCCTTTACATGAAACAGTTTCTTTCTATAACAACAGTTAAGCAATGTCAGCACTTTAACTCATAGTCTCTCAAGTGACTTGGCAGTCCACGATTTACTCTAACAGGGAAATGTCTTTCAGAACAAGGGGGAGTAGCAACCTTGTCTGAGTAACTTGGTTTCTCTAGCATAGAACTTGTATCAGGAGTTTCTGACAGCAAAACAGGAGGAACTCCAGTAACATTGTCTTTCCTGGATGGGTTTCATGAAGTTCATGCAATACTTTCTCTTGAAGGGAAGGTGGTACAACAACCCGAGTGCCCCACAACACACAGCCTTGTTGGGTTCTCAGCTCATCTTGTTTATTCTTAAACGGTACCACTGTGGGATCAACAACACTTGGCCATCCACTGATGACATAACTGTACACTTTGGATAAGATGGGGTCAACCTGGGTTTCTCTTTTGATCATCTGACTGGTCACATTGGTTACAACTTCAGGTTCTAAGAAGAAGCACTCGATATTTTCACATTTGGGTGACCACGTTTGTGGCAAAGGAAGACGTGACATGCTGTCTGCATCAGCATGCGCTGTAGTGCTGCAGTACTCAATTTTGTAATTGTACGATGCCAGGATAAGGGCCCATCTTTGAAGTCGAGCTGCTGCATGAGCAGGAACTGGCTGCTGTGGTCCGAAGAGGGTGAGCAGAGGGCGATGATCTGTTTAAAGTGTGAAGGAGCGACCATACAAGTACTGGCAAAATCGCTTTAATCCAAAAATGATGCTGAATGCCTCCTTTTCTGACTGGGAGTAGTTTTGTTGGGCTTGTGTCGGGGTACAAGAGGTGAAGGCAACAGGCCGAAATTGTCCATCTATACGATGAGACAGAACTGCTCCAGCACCATACGATGAAGCATCACATGACAGAAAAAGGGGAAGTGTTTCATCATAATGCACTAAAGTTTTTGAGCTAAGTAACAGCTGCTTAGTGGCAACAAATGCATCTTCTTCAACTTTAGACCATTTCCAGGGTGTATTCTTCTTCAATANCATTGGTTACAACTTCAGGTTCTAAGAAGAAGCACTCGATATTTTCACATTTGGGTGACCACGTTTGTGGCAAAGGAAGACGTGACATGCTGTCTGCATCAGCATGCGCTGTAGTGCTGCGGTACTCAATTTTGTAAACGTACGATGCCAGGATAAGGGCCCATCTTTGAAGTCGAGCTGCTGCATGAGCAGGAACTGGCTGCCGCGGTCCGAAGAGGGTGAGCAGAGGGTGATGATCTATTAAAAGTGTGGAGGAGCGACCATACAAGTACTGACGAAATTGCTTTAATCCAAAAATGATGCTGAATGCCTGCTTTTCTAACTGGGAGTAGTTTTGTTGGGCTTGTGTCAGGGTACAAGAGGCACAGGCAACAGGCTGAAATTGTCCATCTATCTGATGAGACAGAACTGCTCCAGCACCATACAATGAAGCATCACATGACAGAAAAAGGGGAAGTGTTTCATCATAATGTGCTGAAGTTTTTGAGCTAAGTAACAGCTGCTTAGCGGCAACAAATGCATCTTCTTCAACTTTAGACGATTTCCAGGGTGTATTCTTCTTCAATAGGCTGTGTAAGGGTGCCAGGACTGTAGAGTGATGTGGCATGAATCGTGAATAGAACATTATAAGTCCCAGAAAGGACTTCAAGGCAGCAACATCTTTAGGTCTTGGGGCATCACGAATGGCTGTAAGTTTATCTTCAGTGGGATGTAAGCCCTCACCATCTATCTTGTGACCAAGATAAACCACTGATGGCTGAAGGAATTTGCACTTTGCCTTGTTCAGTCGGAAGCCAGCTTTTAGAAGTCGATCCAAAACCAAGGAAAGAGTGTGGAGATGATCTTCTTGATCAGTTCCTGCAAACAGAATGTCATCAAGTCGACTGACTGCCTTCGGAATGTCAGACAATAAATTGTCCATAATTCTCTGAAAAATGGCTGGACCTGAATGTATACCATTTGGCAACCTCTTAAATGCAAATAGCCCAATGTGAGTATTGATAGTGAGATAAGGCTGTGATTCCTTTGCAATGGGTATCTGGTGGTAAGCTTGTTNGTTCCAAGTCTTGGATGAGAATTGGAGAAAATGACGTCATTTTCTCAAAAATACCACACGGGTTAATTATAATAACAATTAGCCGCAATTCCCATAAAGTATAACAAAAACTTTGGCTCATATATTCGTGCAATTTTCCACATGAATTGTTATTATAATTTCAACCTGTGCGGTATTTTTGAGAAAATGACGTCATTTTTTCAAATTCTCAACCAAGACTTGGAACAAGGAAAATTAATGGCAGCCGTAAATTCTCGGAAATAAAGGTCCAAAAACCGTGAGTTCTAATTTTCGTAATAAAATGAAATTTGCCAAGATATCTAGGAAAGACGCATTGTGTACAGAAATGTAAAAACATGGATATCGAAAATTTCATCATAGTGGCACTTAAATATTTCTTTCATTTGGCCATCCTTCTTTGAAACAGAATTTGCTATAGTTCATACTCGAATGTAAAGATATGGATAATTATTGTGTTTATGTAGATTTCCTCGTTTTGTTCAATTAGATGTGGTGAAATGCTTGTTGATGAATTTCTTTAAAGTTTGTTGTGTTGAGTAAATGATTAGCATTTTACGAGAGCTCTACTTTTAAGCTTGGCTCCACCAATATCATAACATTTTATCCTGCTTTGATTTATTTAATTGTCCCCTGAAAAAAAAATTGGATATAGTTTGTCCAAGCCTCTCAAAATAAAAATATCTTTATTGGGCATGCTTCCAAACCCCATATAGCAACCAGTCAGTTGGTGCATATCCCACAAAAAATGCATACTATACCCTTGCAGAAGGATAACTGTTTACAGTCTTTAGTATTTCAATATTTTTATATGGCAAGGTAGTCTTGAGGTTGATCCAAATTTTCTGATGGTTCTTTCTTGGCCAGGATTTTGTCCTCTGGCCATTTTGAAGCTGGGTTTTTTTTTTGAGAGCAAGTGCATATTGTAAACTACTTACTAAACTAGCTTGCCCAAGCTGTAGTTGGGAATATTGGCAGGGTCATTTTTTTGCAAACCTCGCTTCCCTTGGTCCATACTGCCACAACATCGGGTCAATATATTTCCTTACTACAGCCCTCACGCTAGGTAAATAAGATGTTATGACTTAAAGGTTTTCAAAATGTTGGTTGATGTTGTAATTTCAAGTCTCACTCATGTAATTTGTACTTTTTTCAGAGCACTTCAACATGTGAAGCTTCTAGAAAAGATTTTCAACTTTCAGATGCAAGTGATGCCACTGAACAAGATGAAGAAAAGGAGGATAGTGAGGACAAATTTGACTTTGTTCATAGACATTTTGAAATGCCTTATACCTTTGGCATCAATACAACACTGGGTTATGGGGAACACAATCAAAAGAGACAAGATAGAAGATTGGTGAGCCATTGTTGTACTAATTATGTTCATTATGTTTCTTTATGTTAATATAACTTTCAAGTTCAAAGAAGGAAAAGAAAAGAATTAGTCAGTAAATGACAACACATAGTAGCTACAATAAGATAAATCAAAGGGCTCTTGGAGCCAGCTCATTCCTGTAATGGCTAATTTGCATTATGCTCTTTGGTCATGAAGTTTTGGTACAGTTGAACCCTATTAACCATCCCAGCAATGGTAAAGGTAAAGTCTGTATACAAGCCAAGTTGCCCATCAGGCCAGAACTTATCCCGGTTTCTGTAGCTTGAAACGATTAGGAGTATTTCTACTCCCCCAGGATGGGATGCAAGTCCACCACAAGTTTTCCCCCGGCATTAAGTTCGCTGCTACCCACCTGGGTGGAGAGAGGCACTGTGAGAGTAAAGTGTCTTGCCCAAGAACACAACACAATGTCCTGGCCAGGGCTCGAACCTGGACCACTTGACCTGGAGACGAGCGCACTAACCACGAGGCCACTGCACCTCCCACCATCCCAGTAATGCTAATGCCAAAAGCTGGCACTCAGTCTCCCCAAAGTTCTCTCAAGGGCAATAGGTTGCATATGTGACTGTCCAAAAATCTAAAATAGGATACTGGGTGAATTATTAGGATACATCTAGTGAAATGAGAAGGCTGTTAAATAATAATTTTTTTAATTTTCATAACACTATTTACATAGACTAATCACTAGTACTTTACAGTAAATTCATCAAAGACTAAATAGGGAAAATATATTAAGTTATTGATAACTGGGAAGTAAAAGAGCAATACATTAAAATGCCGACACGTCTTAAGATTACTTGTAAAAAGACTAATATGCAGACACCGCGACCCACTGCGTGCACCATGTTGCCTATCATCTATGTGAGGTAGATGAACCCTCAACCTTACAAGAAGCAAAGTCCAGTGATCATGCTGCAGTGTAGAAAGTCACTACAGATTCAGAGTACAAATCTCTGATTTAAAACAAGATGTGGAAGTTGGTTGAATTACCCCTCAGTCGGAAAGCTATAGGATGCAAATGGGCATTTAAGCTGAAGCATACAGCAGACAGTACAGTGGAACGGTTTAAAGCACGCCTAGTGGCCAAGGGTTACGCCCAGAAATGTGCTGTTGACTATGATGAAACTTAGCTTGTAGTTCATTTCACTTTAATACGTCTTTTGCTAGGGTTTGAGACATTGAGACAGCTTTTCTTAGTGGCAAACTTGATGAAGAAATTCACATACAGCAACCTGACGGATATGTGAAATCTGGAGAAGAGCATCTGGTCTGCAAGCTAGAGAAGTCACTGTATGGATTAAACCAGTCATCCCAATGTTATAATAAAGCTTCCCAGGAATGTGTTGAGAAGATTGCTCTCATTCAAACCTCGGCAGATCCCTGTGTGTTCATCAGAAAAAAGGATACGTTGACAATCATTGCAGTTCACATTGATGATCTGATGATACTAGCGAAAAACACTTCAGAGATGGAAAGACTTAAGGACAGCTTAAAGTTGCAGTTTAAGATGAAAAATATTGGGGAGCTGCACTGCTATGTGGCAGTTTGCATCGTTCAAGATAAGGAAAACAAGCAAGTCTACCTTCATCAAGGGCAGTACATCAAAAGATGCTCTTTGGGTAAGCAGAACCCAAACCAGTGTCCGCACCTGCTGATTTGAACGTCAAGCTGCAAAAGGAAGATGGTGTTAGCAGACCTATAAATGCAATGTTGTACCAGTTCATCACTGGAAGCCTACTTTATGCTGCAATCGCAACTTGTCCGGCCATTGTCCAAGCAGTGGGAGTTATGTCAAAGTTCTGCGCAAATCCTACATGAAATCACTTAAGGTATCATTATACCCCAAATGGCCATCATTTGTTGGCACCGCTTTACGGTCGTACATTGCATGCAAACCCCAGTTAAGTATGCATTTCTGAAAGCTTAAGAATTGTAGATTATGAGAGTGTAATTATTAATAAAAAAGATAAGGCTTCATGAATAAGTGCCCCATTTCACAAAGTACCAAGGTTCACTAATCAAGTTTGTTTCTGGTAAGATTTAAGCTGGAGGACGTGATCAACATCTCTACATCTTCTTGACACCTCTCTCTAAACAACAGTGTCAGGAAATTGTTGTAAACGGATAATAATTATCGAGGACACAAGGAAACGCAACTCAACTCTCTTTAATCTGAACATTCTGAACATCCAAATCGCATGTGTCACTGCACATGCGCAGTCCAAACAGTCCAAACAATACCTATTATGTAACATCTCCCCCTTTAAATGAAACAGTTTCTTTCTATAACAACAGTTAAGCAATGTCAGCACTTTAACTCAGTCTCTCAAGTGACTTGGCAGTCCACGATT